AGATGTTCTATTAGAAGAGTCTAACAGACTCTTATTCCGATCTTCAAGTAAATTAAATCATGTCACAGAATAATGATGGCTCAGTCATTCTCCAGAAACACTGCATTGTGAGGAACGGAAGCATCCTAACTTGTACTTAGGGAGGTTGAACTATTAGTCAATGCTGTTACACTACTGAGCTGTGGCCCACATAGTGATGTAAGGCACCAGTCCTGTCCTTATTGCTTAGATCTGCCCAGACAGCACATGATGTACCTGTTCCTTTTTTCCCCTCTCTGACATTGCTGTTTTGATTAAACACGGGTGACAGCAACATTTGAACTCTTGGAAAGTTTTGAGGATGAAACTCACCCGTTTCCATACTGAGTGCTGCTGTATATTCTCCCTTTCAGATTCTGCAAGGGCTCTGGAAGTGAACCAGCATGAGCTTTCCCGTTGAGACTGAAGTCAATGCTCATTCTACGCCAACGAAGTCCTTTTGGAGCCTGCCGGGAATGTATTTTTCACAATTTAGCGATGTCTCTGAAATAGCCTGCTTGGGATTTGTTTAAATGCAAATCTTTGGATGTCTGTTCTACTGCAATTTGCATGGTCAGTGCAGGTCCTTCTCAAAGGTTCTTTCTCTTGACTGAAAAGGCAATTCATGGGTGAAAATGGAATTTCTTTTATTGAGAGAGAAAAAGACTGATGAGTCGTTCAGCAATCAGGTGGCTTCAGACAACAGAAAGAGTAAGGGATGGGGTGGAAGAAATGGTGTCTACAAGCTTCACGCTGGGATCTTGGCCTCACGGTGCTGGGCGTTGTGCGGACAAACAACGAATCAACCTCCTGTGCCCTCAGGAGCTAACAAGCTAAGCTGGCTGTTAAAAATAAAAATAAATCTCTAGGAGGTTCCCCATGAAGTCAGTGGTGGAGAACAGGGTACCTTGGAGGAAGTGGGTGACACCCCCAGTTAATGTCACAAAAGCCACCAAGCACGGTACTGATTTTATCAATAGCTGGCAGGACCAGATACAATGTGGTGCCCCACAAGTGAATATCCACGTGGCTTGACCAGCCCTCATTCTGCTGGATCCTCTTTTCATAGCTAGATCTGGAAGGCCTTCATTTGGTTCTCTGAGATTCTGCAAGAAGTATCTTTCTACTAATACAGGTTCAGTCTCTTGCTGGTCGGCACTAGACTCCTTGCAGATGGCAATGCACACTGAGAAACTCGGTGCCTGCCATCCCTGAACTAAGCAGCAGAGTGAACTGTATTTACGCTTATCCCTTGGTTCAGAAACTTGCCCCTGTTAAGCAGCTGGCAGATCATTTTTGTGTGATGCAGGAACCTCAGCACAGAAATAGGTAGGAGAAAGAATGGAGTGAGGAACATCTGTAGCACTTGGTCTAGAAGAAGTGCAGATTAGTGCTCAGCTGCTTGCCTAAGATGGGACTCTATTTACAGCTGTGAAATGCTGCTCGTATATTCTTCATAATCAAATGCTTCATTTCTTGTGGGCTCCATTGACTGCTCCAGAGTGTGGTTAGGCTAAATCTGTCATTCGCTTTAATTCCTGGGGCTCTTGGCGATGTTACACTGGGGAAGGGAGGTTATTTTTCCAAAATATCTTTTATTTTATTTTGAAGTGGGGAAAAGCAGAGTGGATGGCAGTGGCTGCCAGGAGAAAGAAAAGCAGGTGAGAGAGGGGCTGAAATAACAGAGTGAAATCACAGGTCCTGCTCTAGCCTGGTGATGCCCTGCCTGCTCCAAGAAAGCAAGGAGAGAGGGATTGAACTAAAGTGGTTAAAAACCAAAGGGGCAGCTTCCCAAATGGGAAGCTTCATGCCCTTCCTGGATATTGGAGTCTCTGATAGACCTCTTTTCTCCCTCCTTCATGTCATCTCACCCCATACAGACTGTTCTCCCCATCCACAAGTTTCTTGTGGTTCAGTCGCTGATGAATATTCTCTGTCTCCCTTTCCACCTCCAAATTCACTTCTGCAGAAGCTACTGCTGTTGCCTTTATCTCAATAGACCCTGCAGGCAGGACACAGGAATCAGTGCCCCCATCATCCTAAGCACTGGGCTGACACTTTGACAAGGAGACCAGTCCCTGGGGCAGGGAGAAGAGAACCTAAGTTGATGATGGCAGCAGCAGGTGGGATAGTGAAGCCAGGCCAGGGTAGGAGGTCACATAAAAGCATCATGTTTCTGCATCCTAAGTAGTCACAGCTTTCCACAGGTCAGTCCATTGTCAGACCTCCGCACCAGCTCTGTCTGCTTCCAGCTCAAACGTATTTGCTTGGTTTACCACCAGTTTGCAGACCCAGGGCAAATCTTTGTTCCAGGGCTATCGGCAGCAGCGCAGCTAGGATTGCTCTCCCTGTATTGCTGAAAATGTCTATCCCTCTCCATGCCTTTTTTATCGATGGAAAATAATTGCATTAAAGCCCTTGGGACCTGGAATTGCTCTGTCTCCTGAACCCAGGAAATAATTAGCCAAAGATGAAATCCAACCGCAACCAGTGTTTTTCCTACAGCAGACCAAGCTCTTAACATGCACCTGCCTTTCCAGTTACATAGGGACGAGATTTTCTGTGCAGTCTGTTGGATTTAACCATGCATCTTCCATGAAGCTTAATTTGTGGAATCAGGATGTGTCATAGGATATAGCTATACAGCCAGCTGTGTATTGACCCATCACCATAACAGGCCACATTTTATCCAACTGCATTTGATTTTGACTTGTATTTGCTACCTGGCTAACCTCACTGCCCTGTTTCCTAATACAAGTTGTTAGACGCGCAACTGTAAGAATGAGTGTTGAGTTGCGTCATTCAAATTTTGGTTTTAAATCCCTCACCTTGTCACTAAATAAGGGGATATTTGCTGTTTATTGTTAAGTGTTATCACAAAACACCATGTATTGCTATATAACGCTATCTTGGAACATGCAACGTAAAGCCGATACTTAATTTGCTGTGTCTGACCAGGACCTCCAGCTGTCACTATTGTGATTGTAATCTTATAGGATGCTGGGGGGTTACATGTTTATACAACAGTCAGTGTTTACCCTGAGCACATGGGTGACTGACTGCATTTCAGTTGGTATAATATATTGCAGAGTTTCACACTTCTGCAAGCTTCACTGTGAAAAGCAGCTGCCGTGTGAATTCTCATTAGATGCTGAACACTTGGGGCCTGATTTGGCAGATATCAATGCACCCATTTAGGTTTAAGCGTGTGTTCATCCCATTGATGTATGTGATGCCTACTGTGAAAAGTCAGTTTATTTTTTCTCAAGCAGGGTACTATCCATAATACCCCTCCTCCCCGCCTCAATCCAGCAACGCACTGAAGCATGCGGTTAACTTCAAGCTGATCAGTAGTCTAACTGAAATCAATAGGTTTTCCTGGCTTGGGTCATACATTAGCAAATAATTAGTTCTAGTATTAAGAGGGAAGCAAAATGTTTTTAAAAATACACTTGGAAAAATGCTACCAAAGCCAGGACATACAAATTTCCACCTCCACACCCCAAGCTTTTTAAAATGTTTTCCCTGGAAAATGTGTGACTAAGAGGTTTCCTTAAATAATAAGTATCTTTCCATTGTGGGACTGTGCACCTCTTTGTTGTTGTTACTCAGAAACACCAGGACTGCCGCCGTCGATACTATCTTTAAGGAAACCACAGTATTGAAGCTTTTATATCCTGGTCCTGAATTCATTATGCAGTGGGGGATTTCGCTCTTTGTGTTGGGCGGGGAGAAAACAGTAGTCATTAGAGAGACTCTGTAAAGAGAGAGAAGAACAGAGGAAAGAAAAGAGATTCAAATTATGGTCTGTAAATGTTGACAGTGTTATGAGATTATCTGATGATTCCAGGTATTAAGCATTTCAGGGCACCAGGAAAAAAAAAAACCCAAGCAAGAAGCCCTTATCACCTTTCTGTCTCATTAATAACGAGTGTGTTATACACACACACACATCAACCAGAGAATAGAAATCATTGTTCGCAAGGAAGATATTATAGGAAGGTTTCAAAGTCCCCGTGTTTCACATCTGTTTTCACAGCAAAATTGCTGTTTGTATGCACTGACTTGGAACTTCTGCCTCTGATTTGCCTAGTGTTATTTGCATGAGTTTTCGCATTGTCATTCATGATGCTGAACGCGAAGGGAACGAACCCAACACGAGCTCTCTTGTGACTTTGGGGGCACAAACGCACACGCGGCAAGAACAGCAGTGAGCCGGCCATCGCCCCGGCCCCCCGGGCTCGAAGACCGTTTCTATCTGAACGCGTGCAGGGATGCAACAGGAGCGCCGACCCGAAACCTAACGAACCACGAATCTTCAATCAGACCCGGGGTGGGGGGGAGGAAGGCTTCGAGCTCGGCAGCGTTTCCTGCGCCACGTGGCAGGCGTCGGTGCCTCTCCGCTCCGCCTTGCATCCGGTCTCGATTTTTGGAAGTGGGACGAATACATCGGGTAGAGGAGACGATCGGTGTTATCGGCTCTGTCGGATGAGCTGTTGTCCCGGCAGGGGGACGACCGGGCGGGAAGGGCCCCCGTGGAGGGGTCGTCCGTATCCCGTCGAGGCGGGCGCGGACGGGCCCACGCACGACCCTGGCCCCTCGCTGCGCACCACAATTTTGGGCCCTGACCCCGTGAGGTGAGGTCAAAGGGCAGCGCGCGGAGCCTGACCCTGCAGCTCCACTGATGGGGTCAAAGATCCCTTAGATTAAGGGGGCAACGAGGTCAAAGGTCACCCCTCATGCCTTGTTCCTCCCCACTTCCGGTGCCACTCGGCCGGAACCATGCTGCCCGCGCAGTTCCCGCCCGGACCCTGCTCAGCGGCGCACCGCGCACAGTTCGTCCCGCGCGCTGACAGGCTGGCGGGCGCGCCTGCAGCTCCACTGATGGGGTCAAAGATCCCTTAGATTAAGGGGGCAACGAGGTCAAAGGTCACCCCTCATGCCTTGTTCCTCCCCACTTCCGGTGCCACTCGGCCGGAACCATGCTGCCCGCGCAGTTCCCGCCCGGACCCTGCTCAGCGGCGCACCGCGCACAGTTCGTCCCGCGCGCTGACAGGCTGGCGGGCGCGGCGGAAGTGCGCCGCGTTCCGCGCTCCGGCGTGCCCCCGCGGGCGGCGCCGAAAGGTCCGGGCCGGCAACATGGCGCCGGGGCGGCGCGAGGCGCTACCTGCAGCAGCCCCTCGGCGCCCAGCGCAGCGACAGCGACCCCCTGGGTGAGCCCCGGGTTGTGCCGTCCCCCCTTGGGGCGGGGTGGGGTGGGGGGAGCCGTGCCCTGAGCGCGATGCGGCCCCTGACAGACCCGGGGCACGTGTCCGTGTCCCGTGTGCGTTGCAGAGGAGTACACGTGCCTGTGGCAGGAGTGCGGCTTCTGCTCGCCAGAGAACTCGGCCGACCTGATCCGCCACGTCTACTTCCACTGCTACCACGCCAAGCTCAAGCAGTGGGGGCTGCAGGCCCTGCAGAGCCAGCCGGACTTGAGCCACTGCCAGCTGGATTTCCAGAGCCGCAACATCGTGCCGGAGATCCAGGAAAACTTCCAGTGTCTGTGGGAGTATTGCGAGGTGAGGGCCGCCCGCGGCACTGCTCCGGGGGGGGGCGGCGCGCGCGACTCCGCGTCTCGATCGGAGCGAGCTCTCCGGTCTCTGGACGAGGCGAGGGAGAGTCAGGGTCGTTTGTTTGTCCGCCCCCCCTCGCCCCGCAGCGGTCGTTCGATAACCCGGAGTGGTTCTACCGGCACGTGGAGGATCACAGCTTCTGCTTGGACTACAAGGTGGCCGGGAAGGAGAACCACGTGGTGGCGTGTGGCTGGAAAGGTACCCCACAGCCGCGTGAGAGCTCGTTGGGGAGAAGGCGAAGGGGGCTGGGAAGCAAATGGCAGCAAAAGCTGTGTTCGCCGGCGCTTCGTTAGCCGGAAAGCTCTTATTAAGCGGCATCCGAGTGGAACCGGAAGTACCGCTTCCAGGGGACTTCCTGTTTCGCCGCCACGAGCCGAGTTTTTCTTTGATGCTTCTACAGCTCGGGGCAAAGCAGCCTGCGCAGGGGCCTCCTCCCTGTCCCCCGGCACACTGACACCGGGCGGTGTATATTTGATTAACCAGCATCCCCCATTCCCCGGGGATGCCGGATAACAGCTTTTACTGTATATATAGTGATTTACACCAGTTTAGGGGTTTCTGAGCGCCCCTGCATCATTCATTGCTCACTCTCCTGTACAGCAATGTACGCCAAGCTCAGCTTGGGGAGACTTGACATGAAGCTGTTTTAAAACCCGGTTTCAGGGAGATGAACGTCGGCTGGGCGCGTGCAGCCGTTTCGTCTGTCGGCTGCCGTGCTGGTCTAGCGGAGCTAAAGTGATGCAATGCTTTAAGGCCACGATGCCAGTGCTTATTGAGGAAGCATCTGTGCTGGCTCTCATCCTTGTGACTGCCTTTGCTACTGTGTGTCCTGTAGGATGGTGGCTGCAAGCTGGGTGAAGCCTCAGGATACTGTCTACAGTGCATCTGTCATTGGCCTCTGTGGGTAGTGACAACCTGTCGCACTGTGGAATAGCAAACTGGAGGCTTCCCTGGGGTGGAGCTGGCTGGTTTCAAGCCGCTTTCCTTTGTGCTGCCGGCAGTGTTTCAGAGCTCCTGGGTCTCTGCCATGGCTCTGACCAGCATCTGTTTCTGCCTCTTGCATTCAGACTGTGACTGCACTTTCAAGGGGCGCTGCAAGCTGCGGGAGCACCTGCGCAGCCACACGCAGGAAAAGGTGGTGGCCTGCCCAACCTGTGGGGGGATGTTTGCCAACAACACCAAATTCTTTGACCACATCCGCCGGCAGACTACCCTGGACCGTGAGTACAGGGGACGACCCTGGGCTGTGAGTTGGGGCAGGCACTGAGACTGGGCCTGGAGCTAGAAGCAAGAGGGATTTGCTGGTTTCTGTGTTTATTCCCAGCTTCCACGTCCCTTGTTCCCAGTTACTGGAGACAGTAAGGTTGTTTTGGAGCTCAATGCTTCCCAATTTGTGCGTGTGGCAGCCCAAGGAATGCTGTGATGGTGCTGGAAGGCACATCAGTGGCTGCAAGTGTCTGTCTTGGCCACTAGTTACTGCCTCAGATCTCATTTCACCACTCTTTCTCCCCCTCTCCATTACAGAGCAGAGGTTTCAGTGCTCTCATTGCTCCAAGAGGTTTGCCACTGAACGGCTGCTTCGTGATCACATGAGGCACCACGGTGAGTGATGTCCTCCCCTGCCCCTCGTTGGGCGTGTTCCCTTCCCTGGCCCGTGATAACAGCTCCCTCGGTCCCTCTCTTTCAGTGAACCATTACAAGTGCCCTCTCTGCGATATGACCTGCCCACTGCCCTCCTCCCTGCGCAACCACATGCGCTTCCGCCACAGCGAAGAACGTCCCTTCAAGTGTGACAACTGTGACTACAGGTGGGCCCTGCCAGGGCTCAGGGAGGAAGGCGAGGCCTCTCCTTGCGCTGGCTGCAGGAAGGAGTCCTTCGCAGGGGGCTAGTGGCAGAACAGGGCCTGCTTGCTTGCTCGCTCGGCTTCATTCTCTTCTGTCCTTTCAGCTGCAAGAATTTAATTGGTCTGAGGAAACACCTGGACACACACAGCAAAGAGCCGGCCTATCGCTGCGAGTTCGAGGGCTGCAGCTTCTCCGCCCGCTCCCTGTGCTCCATCAAACTGCACTACCGCAAGGTCCATGAGGTGGGAGGCACCCCAGGGCTCTGCCACTCCCAGTTGGGGCTTCTCTGGAAGGTTGGGAGGCCCTGAGCAAATCTGGGAATCCCTCGTGCTAGGCCCTATACATGGAGAGAAACAATATGTGTGCGTGAAGGGAGGGGAATGCAGTCATCCCCTCCATGCACGGGGAGAAACTGAGGCCTAGGGTGTATCTACATTGTAGCCTCAGTGCACCCTGGGAGGGAATCCCCAGGTCCACCCTGCCCCTGAGACTGCTGGACACTGCCCTTGAGAGGGCCCTGGGGGGCGGGCAGGGCATGCTCTGGAGTGTCCCTGCCCGAGAGCTCTGGGGACACTGTGGAGACCTGCCCTAAGGTACCTACCTAAGAGTCAGGTCCCAGTTACCTGTGAGGCTCTTGGTCTGCACAGCTCATCTCCCCGAGCTTGGATCAGTGTGTTCACATGCAGTACCTGCTAGCACATAGCTGCTCCTTTGTCTTGGCTGTCCCCCCATATCCCCTGCACAGCAGGGCCGATGACTTCAGCAGCTCTGGTGTTGGATGGGCCAGTTTGGGGCCTCTGGGGACCGTGGAGTTTTCTCCGTCGTTTCATTCTGGTGTTTCGTCTCTTCAGAGCTCTGCTCTTGGGCTGAGAACAGGGAAGCGCTCCCCGCCAGGGACTGGTGCCGGGAACAGCAGCAACTCTTAAGTGCTAAAGATTTTTTTTACCAAGCAGCAAGCGCGGTACTGGTAAACAGACAGATGCTTCCTGAAAGAGCTCTCAGCCAAGGGCATGGAGAGCTAAAACCAGCAATGGAGGGAGTACTGTCTGCTGCGTGATTCTCCACAGGTCCCTGGGGTATGTGGGAGGCCTCCCTTTGCCAGTGCTGTCTGTTGCCCTGGCCTTACCTTTCCATGCTTGCATGGCAGTACTGTGCCCCTAGCCTGCCCAGTGGGGTGTGCTGGGGAGCAAGCAGGAGAGTCGCCTGTCAAATGGGAGCTCCCGGGGCCGCTGGCTGGGAGCTGTGACTGTTGCATCCTTCCTTCCTTCCTTCTCACTCCTCTGCAGGGTGACTCAGAGCCCCGGTATAAGTGCCACGTCTGTGACAAGTGCTTCACACGGGGCAACAACCTCACCGTACACCTCCGGAAAAAGCATCAGTTCAAGTGGCCCTCAGGCCACCCTCGCTTCAGGTAACTAGAACTCTGGCCTTCGTTCTCCCTTCCCTTGCTCCATATCACCAGACTTCAGAGCTGGGCAGGAGATCAGGGCAGTGTGGCAATGCAGGGCCTACAGGCTGGGGGTCAGAGAGGCAACTGATGTGCTAGATTTGACACTTCTGGCAAGGTTTCCCCTGTTGCGCCCTCACGTTAATGGACCAGGAGCAGCCTGGTTTTGGGGCTTGCCCATGGTCCAGGCTGCAGCATTATTTTCTGGGGAGGGGGAGGGGAAAGCAGCCCCTGCTGATGCCTGAGTGGCCCCATCAGGTGTGTTGGCATGCAGGGCTGTGCCCCAAGTAAATGCTGCTTCTGCCACCTGTATTGGTCCTGCTTGCCAGCTCTACTGTCCCTCCATCTGGCCCATCAGGTACAAGGAGCATGAGGATGGCTACATGCGGTTACAGCTGGTGCGTTACGAGAGCGTGGAGCTGACTGAGCAGCTGTTGAAAGAGCAGGAGAAGCAGGGCGAGGCACTGGATGGCACCGGCGAGCGCATGGTCCTGCCTGAGGACGAGAGCAACCTGCAGGTCATCATCGTGGAACCACCTGCGGAGGCTTCCCTGGAAGAAGCCAACAATGTGGCCACACCACTGCCCCTGCTGTATGCTGTGGCCTGCCCTGGGACAGCACAGCCAGGGGCCTTGCTGAAGCAAGAGCCCAGCACCCCATCCGACACTATTATCCATGTCATGAACCAGACCAATGAGCATGGGGAGAGTGAAACAGTGTTCTACGTCATGGCCAGCACGTACCCTGAGGAGTGGGCAGCTGCACCCGGTGGCCTCACCGAGGAGCCGGAGGAGAATGTCATGGACCGGCTGCAGAAGACAGCAGAGGAACTGGGCATACAGATAGTGTGAGGTCCCTTCCCTGTGCTTGGCTTCGGGGATCCCCTGGGGACCCTGCCACCTCAGGTGGGGCTGGCCTAGATTTGAGCCTGTGGGATCACCAGGTTGGGACCCTCAGATGTTGTCCAAACTCTGCTTAACACCAGAGCTGAGGGTGACGGCACTGCCTATGGGAGTCTCAGAACCTGCTTTCCTCCTGGGAGTTGTGGCCAGATCCCTTTGCTGTGCTGTCGAGCTGCAGAGGCGAGCTGGTATAGGGGGAGGGTGGGCGGGTAAGCGCATGGGGTTGGGGGAGGATTGTCCTGTCTCCAGTAGGAGAAGGTGGCAGTGTCTGAGGGTTGCCGTGATGGGAAGTGGCTTACAGCTCGAGGGAGGGAAGAGGGCACCAAAGCCTCGGTGACAGCAATACCATCCATCCTGCCCGGGAGGTTTGGTTCTTTGTGTCCTCTATGCTGGCTCCTGGCAGGAAGGTTGGGCCCCTGCTGCTACTGGCTCCTGGCCAAGGCCTGGCTCAGCCAGAACCATGCTCCTGTGGCCGTGTGGAGGAGGCTGCGAGTGCTGGTCTTGCCTCGGGAAGTACTGACCAACCCTAGCCGGGCGTTGTCTGTCTGGCATCTTGTGTGGGTGAACACTGCCTTCGGCTCTCCCAGTGGGCTGATCCCTGTGCTAGCAGCCTGGGGAAGCTCCTGTCACAGTGTTAGTGTTGTCTCTTCCCCATCTCCTTGCTGGTTTCTGAGGAAAGGCAGGGCAAGGCCCTTCATGGGGTGCCAGCGCGAGGGGACCCTTCTCAGTGTGGGATCCCCCTGCTGCCTTTGTGCCCCCTCGGCTTCCTGCCTGTGGCCTTCCCCACATTGGGGCTCAGGTGCTGGGTTACCCAAAGTGCATTTCACCGTGAAAAATAAAGGTCCTGCATGCCAGGCCAGCCCCTTGCATACTGCGTCTGCTTTATGCCCGCCCCGGCAAAATCATCCTGGGCACCTGCATACCCCACAGGGCAGGGCCAGAGCGAGCAGTGGGGCCTGGGGGTTTGTGCCCTTGCATGGTGCTGTGTGAGTTCAAGCAGCACTGGCTCAGTTCCAAAGTGATGCCTGCAAGGTCTCTCTGGGTGAAGGATGTTAGCCACATCCCCTTGCAGGGAGGATCAGGCCTTTCTGCAGGTCCAT